GGATGTTGACTTCTTCTCTGGGGCGTGGTCGTTCGAACTCATATCGAGGCAGTGGCGAAGCCAGGGTGGACAGAACTGAATGTTCATCTCTTTAAATAACTGAACGTTATCAGCCCGGATAATGAAGCGCTCTACAAGGACTTCGGATAAGGGTAATATTTTGTTTCCTCACGTGAAGACATGAGAAGAAAAAGGATCGCATTTACCCACAAAGTGTCACCGCACTTCGAGGTTTGCGCCGTGAGGCATGTACATCATTTGGTATGCGGCCTGAGCCGTCACACAATGGAGACGACGAGCATCTGTATAGCTCGCCTGAGCCGTACAAACGGGGTGGTGGCCCGATGCATGAACCCGCTGGGAACTGGCTCCGGGGTCAGATCCCTACAGATGGCTTCAGAAACGAAGAGCTGAGGAAACCAGAATTTGGAACGTCGAAAATCACTGGCACCTCTGTCGCCGTGTCACTACAAGCCCTCCGTTGCCTTCAAAGAGTCTTCAAAGACGATCCTGGCGACCTCGGACTCGGAGTCGAGTTGACGTGGCCACGTCAAAGTCACGTGGATGTCAACGGGACGGGGGCAGAAACTGAGAAACTGCCCCAAATAAGAATCTTGTTCACAATAGGGTAAACCACTACCTGCACTCAGCCACTCACTGTTTCGCTGCTTGCTGATACCAACCACGACCTAGCGGAAGGACCACCTACGGAGTCGAGGATTGTAACGGGCCGCGCACTCAGTAGCCATGTCTTCTACGCGTGGCAGTGCTTCTGTTCACAGTTGTCGGGCTCCCAGTACGGCTCTTGAAACTTCACTTGGGATTGAGTCTAGTGACTTATATTGTATATTGACTTCTTTCAGGCGTGCTAGAACCTTTGCAGCAGGTTAAGCTACTTTCTGCTCTCAGAAACGGTGCGTGTCGTGTCGCAGATGGGCCTTGAAGTCAATTTAACTGTTCTGACAGGGGATCCCGCCCTCATCCATCCATTCTTGACCGAAATTAACAAGGAAAGACGCAATTCTATGGATGGCGACCTCAATACTGGGGCAGCAGCCCTGCACCTCGCTATCCGTTGCGCTTCTGGTGAGTGGGGCATTTTACCTCGCAAATGCTGCGCTGACAGAATCAATCCGCCGGTAGTGGATACGGTGCAGCTCCTGTTATCACACAGAGCTATCTCACCGAATGGCGTGCATCCACAAGGTAGTGGTACGACCGCCCTTCATCTCGCGGCATCGCTGGGGCGAGCCGACATCCTCTCCATTCTCCTCGACCAGCCGGGAATAGATGATACCCTTCGCGATGCCCAGGGACGCACCTGCAAGGATGTAGCAAAGGGGAAAGAAATTATTCAACTACTACAAGGTAAGTATGTGTCTGTTGGTCTATTCCTCTCATGTCTCATCCTTTTACAGACTCTCGATCCTTCCTGAACGCGTCGTATAGATCATTGCTACATTCATACGTGCTTTCCGACATCTCAGCCCAACCTAGCCCGACCCTGGTTTCGCTTCTTGAGTCTTCTCGTGCAAAGGGAATCGACCTTTCCTATTTAGATGACACTACAGGGACCTCGCTTCTACATGAAGCAGCACGTCGGAAAGACCTGAGGCTGATTGAACTCGCTGTGCGTGCAGGGGCGGACTGTGTTCGTTCGGGACCGGCGAGGAAAGATGACATATGATGGGGCGGGCAAGGACGACCGTGTGAGGGTATTCTTACGACAATGTAAGTTATCATTTCAGTTCTCCACAAGTCTCTCCTTCTGAGAAATCGCAGTCGCGAATCACGACAAGTCTTTGATCGAAGTACCGATCTCGGAGCCTCCTGTTCTGCAGGGATACCTAAACAAGTACGCCAACGTCGCTCGGGGGTACAATACTCGGTGGTTCGTTCTCAAGGACGGCGTTCTTTCTTGTTTGTACTCACCGCTATACGATATGGTGCAAATCTAAATTAGCTCTTCGCACAGATTATAGACACCAAGAAGACGAAAGCATCGCCAGTAGAGGCGCAATCTCAATGAAATCGGCCATCCTTAAAGTAGGCACAGGGGCTGAAAGAACGCGATTCGAAGTTCATTCGACGCCCTCGCGCGGGCATACGTCAGGCGTGCAGAAATGGTACATGCGGGCGAACCACCCCGTTGAAGCTTCACGGTGGACGCAGGCTATCAGCAAGAGCATGGAGTGGTACAGAAGACGCGAGGGGGAGCAAGGGCCTGCAGGGAGGCGGAGTGGAGAGAGTGATAAGAGTGCGTTGACGGCTTCAAAGGTTCGGACAAGTTTTCAGTCGGGTATATCCACAGCGTCGACGATGAAAATAAGCCATGGAGCGCATAACCCGAAAGGAGAACAAGCGTCGTTCGTGGATCAGGGAGATGGGGATATTGCTATTGGAACTGCTACAAAGGACGACGTCAAAGTAGAAGACGAAGACGAAGCAGCGAATCATCACGATGGTTCGTCAACGTCAGAAACGACGCAGAGCCAGCCTCCCCACGGCAGCACTTTCGATTTACATGGGCACTCAGTGGCTGCGCATATGGACCTTACGGCACAACTCCTCGCTGGTTTATCTTTGCCACCTGGCGCGCCACCGCGCGCGCAAGAACTCCGGCATGCGCTAAAGGAGTCCTTCACCACAGTCCAAGCACTGATGAACGAATACGTTGAGATGGCGAAAGACAGAGAAGAGTGGTGGAAGTCACAACTTCAACGCGAGCGCGAACGTCTGACAATATGGGAAGAAAGCTTGCAGACTGTTGTCCGCGAGGGGGAAGCTCTAGAAAAGGAGCTACGTTTTCGCTCTCGGCAACGTGGGAGCAGATTTTTCGACATAGGAAGCCCCGAGACCGGGGGTACAGTAAGGCACCGGCCGATGTCCCTAACACTTGCTTCGTTACCTCTGTCGTCAGCGCAAGCCTCCACCTTCTTCACAGCCAACGAATCGATTTCCACCGCGTCCGTCGACGGGGCCACCGTTGAGGCCCCTGAGTTGCCTGTGCTTTTGACACCAGTGCAACGCCGGACATCGCGATTTTTGTCCGTGGCTCCTGTCGCGGCAGACGGGGGTGAAGATGCTCTTGACACGGACGAGGAAGACGAGTTCTTCGATGCCATTGAGTCAAATACCCTACCGAACCTTCTCGTCAGCGAGCTTCTTACGAGCCCAACGCACTCGGATCTCTTATCGTCACTCCCACTGAACTTGGAGTCATACTTGGGATACCAACATCTGAGGACGCGGTTGCCCATAGGGAGCGATACTAGGCCGTCCACTAGCCTTTGGTCCGTTTTGAAGCATAGCATCGGGAAGGACTTGACGAGGATTAGTTTTCCCGTCTCCTTTAATGAACCGACCAGTATGTTGCAGCGGATGGTGAGTGGAACTTCACTTGGGGACGTCAGTCAGTTCAAATCCACGCTTGTAGGCAGAAGATATGGAGTTCTCCGAGTGCCGTAAGTGTCGTGTTACTTGTTGAGTTTCGTTCACTGATTCCTTCATCGGTAGTCGACGTAGCCGTTCGAGAAAGAGACCCCCATCGACGCATAGCGTTCGTTGCTGCATTTGCGATGTCTAATTATTCATCCACTATTGGGCGTATAGCAAAGCCATTTAATCCTATGCTTGTGAGCAACACTGGATTATATCCCTTTTTCCGTGCTCTCATATTATTATTTTTTCCAGGGAGAAACATTCGAATATGTGAGACTGGACAAGGAATATCGATATGTATCTGAGCAAGTTAGCCATCACCCGCCGATCTCGGCTGTGTGGGCCGAATCCCCCCATTGGCATTACTACGGCGAGGTAAGTGTCTTCTCTCAGATTAAGCAGACGCCTGCTAATCGTTTCCCGCCTATAGGTTGATGCTCAAAATAAGTTCATGGGCAAGTCGTTTGAGATCCGGCCCACTGGTGTTGCGCACGCAGAGCTCCTTCTCCCTGAAGACTGGGCACCAGATTACCCTAAGGCAACCACTCCCGGCGGCAGAGGCAGAGTAGTAGAGCACTACTCGTGGAGGAAAGTCACCACAAACGTTTCCGGCTTCATCCTTGGGTCTCCTACCATCGACCATTACGGTGACATGATCGTCAGTTGCCGAAATGCCTCTTTGCTCCCACTAGATGCTAACCTGATTATAGGTCACAAACCACCGTACAGGAGATCAGTGCATTCTAACATTCAAGCCTCGAGGATGGCGTGGCAGGGACGCATACGAGATTTCCGGGTCCGTTCGGGACGCCGAGGGCGAAATCACCTACGAAATCGCAGGTCGCTGGAATAGCCAACTCATATGCCGTGCTGTAGGTACCGGAAGTGGATTCCTGCATCCTGACGCGACGGTCAGCGGCCCTGCGTCGCCGAATTATATGGCGGAGTACATTCTGTTGTGGAGAAACTCTGACAAGCCCCCCGCGCCCTTCAACCTCACCCCGTTCGCAATCACTCTGAATGACTGTCCGGAGGACACGCTCAAGCCTTTCCTGTGTCCTACCGACTGCCGTCTTCGTCCTGATCAACGCGCGTTCGAGATGGGCAACTACGACCATGCAAACGACTTGAAAGTCAAGCAGGAGGAGAAACAGCGAGCGACGCGACGAGCAAGAGATGACGGGAGGCTGCCGCCCCACCAACCCAGGTGGTTCACTGCAGAAACGGACGGGGATACCGGAGAACGTGTGTGGACGCCATCTAGAGTGGGCAATGTGCTCGAGTACTGGGAGGAGCGAGAAAGTGTCTGGAAGGCGGGAGGGAACGAACCCTGGAAGAACGTAGACCCTATTTTTATTGAGGATACACCATAACTCTGACATACCAGTCTTAATTATTTCACGGGATGCCTTGGTACGAACATTGGATGTTTTCAGTTTCAATATATTCAGGACGGAATAAGTTTAGTCTCCCGGCTCTTAGAGACGCGACTCTGGCAGTATGTTTACACGTCCCTTGCCTCCGTTGATATTATATTAGAGAATCAAATACTAACTATCGCCTTGATGGCTCAGTTGGCTAGAGCGCAGGTCTCATACAAACTGTATGACTGGAATCGTATTCCAGGTAATCCTGAGGTCGCAAGTTCGAGCCTTGCTCAGGGCATATACTTTTTGCACACCGCCATTCCATTGCATAGTACGGATTTGCAATTGCAATGCAGTCTGCTGGCGGGTCACATTTTACTCCCATCACTGAGACGTGTTGATGACGACACGCTCATCATGGACATGCAGAGGTGTACCAGAATAGCATCATGCTGAGGAAAGCGTTCATGGGAAAATGCAACTTGACTCAACACGCTCCTGTCTCCCACTTCATGATGTTCAACGCATTGATAAGCTCGGACTAGCAACAGCGCTCGCCAAAGCACGGAAGAGTTATCAAGAGGGCGGCATACCGATCGGCGCCGCGCTCGTCTACCACGGCACATCGCTCGACGCAGCGGACGCAGTCATCCTCGGGTGCTCCCACAATCAGCGCATCCAAAAGTCGTCTCCCACCCTCCACGCAGAGATTGCGACCGCTGGAAGACGCAGGCCGGCTGAAAGCGGATGTTTATAGGAAATCAGACGATGGTGGGTCGGGATTCTACTCAATCTGAGTTAGCTAGTGGCTGACACGTTGTGATGTGCACAGTACACGACGTTAAGGTGCTGACTATGGGTGGCATCGGGTACACAGTTCGTTGACTTACTTCAATCTGACAGCCCTTGTAGCATGTGCACAGGTGCAATCTTGTTATACAAGATACCGCGTGTCGTCATCGGGGAAAACGAAAACTGGGTGGGAGGCGAGGAGTTGCTGATGAAAACGGTGTTGAGGTCATTATCGTGGGCGATGCGGAATGTAAAGATCTCATGCAGCGATTCATCAGGGAAAAACCAGAGGTAAGTCGACAACAAGTTCTATTGCACACAAAATGTCTGGTTGTGAACTCTAAGTTATCCAGGAGTGGAATGAGGATATCGGGGAATAACCCTCGTGCTGTCGTATATCGTTGCTCACTGATGCTAACGTTAGCAAAGTCATGGGAACGAGCTCTCCGACGTACCATCATGGTGCCGCAACACTTGTAGTGACTGCTTCGCCAAGACCATCCTGTAGTACCTCACATAGACTGACGTCGAGAGCGCCGCTTCCGGACACTATCGCCTGAACCTGCACTGTTGTTTTACCGTTGGCAGCGTGCTGGGGTGACAGCGACAATGAAACCAAGAATGCTTCCTTTGTCAGCGTCTTTTCTTTTACTTCCTCCTCCTCTTGTGCTTCCTCTTCTTCGTCCTCTTCATCTTCGAACTTCGGTGGTTTGATAAAGTCAATTTTGACACCCTCCTTGACCTCCCACAGCTCAAAGCCAACAGTGGCGCCAGCGCCGCTGACGTCCACGTCGAAAGTCAATGTTCTACGAGAAGGGAGGGGTGTCTCTTTGAAGACTAAAGGTATCCAAATGCCACCCATGGACCCCTCTGCGTCTCCCTGAGGAACGAGCAGGCCAATGGTCCGACTGGTAGCAGCGACACTCGTTTGCTCGCTTCCCTTGTCGAATACTGCCAGAAGCTCTGCCGATTCTTCGGCAAGCAAGACGAGCAAGTGAGCTTGGAATGCGCATCCTCGAGCAAGGATAGTAGTGGGATCTCCAGAGCCTCCACCGACGACTGTTCCCGCTTTGAATGGCGTGATGACGGAATCGGCGAAGCCTTGAGACAACGTCTCGTCCAAGCCTGGAAGTGACGCTGACCCTCCAATGTAAACGATCTCATCGATGTCGTAGAGATCAACCTCCGCGCTCGCAGCCAACTCCCTGACCTTCACATAGACCTTATCATATATGGATCGCACCTCCATGTCGAATCGAAGGCGGTTGATAGATCCAGTGTAATCCAAGCCGTCTTTGAGTGACTCGACGGAGCACGTGGCGGCACCAGGGCTGGCACTCAATGTGCGCTTCGTGTGCTCCACGGCAAGACGGAGTTTGGCTTCTGCACGCTTCTCCGAGGCATCAGAGGCAGGTGCGACTGCGAGGGGCGTTTTCGTTTTCTTAGTGAACTCTTTAGCGAAGAATTTGATGAGCTTTGAGTCGATCTCGTCTCCACCGATGCTAGGGTCTGACAGCGTAGCGAGCGAGTATGCAAGGCCCTCACGGATTGAGAGAAGTGAAAGTTCGAGGGAGGATGCGCCAAGATCAACGATAAGTTGTGTCCGATCTTTAGGAACAGGAACGTCAGCGGTACTCTCGGAGGTGCACACCGCCACGGCGCCGGCGTCATCAAGGAGTTGGAGAACGTGAATTCCTGCTTGTTCTGCTGCGTTCGATAGTGCTTCTCGCTGGGCATCGTCGAACCACGAGGGTACGCTGATGACAGCGCCGACGACTTTTCTACCAAGAAATTCTTCGGCGGACTGAAGAAGTGAGGCGAGGAAGATGATAGCGACTTCCGAGACGGTGAGGATCCTCTCTACTTCGACTGGCTCTGAACGAGGCGTAGCCACTTGTGAGGCAGCAGGGGTGTTGGTTGCGGTGGTAGGCAGGGGTGATGGAGCAGGTTGGAGAACTTTTACTTTGTAGGCAGGAGTATCGGGCAATGAGGGGTGCTGAATGACAGGCGCGGAGACAGACAATTTGTCCTGAGGCACCTCCGAGAACCTATTGAGACCTTGTCAGTGAAAGGAACCGGTGCCTTAGCGCAATCAGACGTACTTCTTTCCTAGAAGGTTGCGGAAACCTGTGATGGTGTTTTGAGAATTTTTGACAAGCTGTTGCCTGGCTTGGTTTCCGATATACTATCATCGTTTATAATCGTCACTCTGGATTAAAGTAAGATGAGATGTATTCCATACCATCTCCTCGCCATGGAAAGCCAAAGCACAGGCAATCTGGCGTTCTCCGTCTTCATTAGCAATACACTCTGCGATGCCCTCCTATTCGTACGAGGCTTCAGCAACCGTCATCACGAAAAATTGCAGCACGAAGCGCACCTTTGTGAATACAGCAATAGACGCATAGGAGTTGCCGAAATTTATGCCAACGATGGATGGTGTAGATACGTCGACTGGCGCGGCTGCGCTTCCATTGGGGATAGACCCATTTTGTAGCATGGTCGATGAATATGTATGGGTGCACGGAACAGCTGATGGGTATAATACAAGATCAGCAGTGGCTCCTTCAAGTTTGGCACTATAAGTAACTTACCTCGCGACAGGTAAAAAGAAAATTACAGATCACGTGCTGCACACGATCAAACTTTGATCGAAAATTTATCAGATAACATTCAGGTTGTGGGAGAGGAACCGCATCGCTCCAGTCGGGCGCTCGAGTTCAGACACACTATAAATAATGCTAAGTCGGTAGTCCTATCTCCCACAAGAACCATCATGTCTCGTTCCCGAGATCGTTTGCAAGTCATACAAAACGCCTTGACCAGCCATCATGACACGAAGCCTGATCCTGTCGACAGCTTCATGCTACCTGACGGGCAAAGGGTTGAGATCATTCAATCACAACCTGAACCTGCGATCTTGTCAGGTGCTGACTCGCGGATTCCTGAGGCCCAGATTTGTGTAGGGGGCGACCACGTGTGCACCTATCGGGCTTTGGACCGCACTGCAGCACTCATCCTTTCGGCAGTTGGCACACCTCACGAGCTTACTGCGACTCACGTACCGAGCTATCCGGTGCTGGAGATTCGTGCCCCGTCGGCTGGCGAAACTTTACAAGCCGATTTGCATATCACTGTGCCGGACCTGTGGGCAATTATCTATGCGCTGTTCGTTCGCCATCGCGAACAGGAAACGATCCCGATCGTTTTCTCTCATGAAGTGGGGAACCACATGAAGCTGCGTTCACACGTCCTCTACACTGGGCTCGGTCGTATCGCACTCAGCAGCCATGGATCGCAGGAGGACTTGTTCCTCTCCAGAGCTGCATTTTGGCAAGGCGCAAGCACGCACGGCTATCATGGATGTGGATGGTTACCCCCTTCCTCTTCCTTAACTCACCATGCCGCCACACCATTCCCATCAGTCCACTCGTTCACTCGTACTCCCATCGTTATCACTGCTCATCCATTACGGCCACCAAAGCCTGTCCCGGGAGAAGTCCTCTACAGAAGATACTGTCCAACTGTCAAGCAAGTGCTAGAATTCACATACTTTGATATTGGTGCCGACGATCAAGTCAGCCCACATCTGGAAGCGTTTCACAGATGGCAGAACGACGAGCGGGTTGCCAAAGCATGGAATGAGCGCGGTACATTGGAACAGCATAAACGCTATGTCAAGGATATTTTGAATGATCCTGCGGTTTTACCTATCATCCTGAGTTGGGACGGTGAATTGATGGGTTACTCGGAATTTGTTTACGTGAAGGTGAAGCTGCTATATCAGCGTCAGATTCTGGTGTTCATCCACAATAACAGGAAAATCACGTTGCAACTTTCGTTCCGGACGGCGCAAGAGACTGGGATCGGGGCTATCACATTCTTGTGGGTGAGGAACGCTTTAGAGGCTGGGAAAGAGGTTAGTCTCGTCATTCCACCCCGGGAAACGGAGTTCTGACGCTACGTGCAATAGCGCAAGCTTGGCAGCGGTCTATCATCCACTACCTTTTCCTTGCCGACCCCCGCACAGAGCGCGTCATGGCAGAGCCAAACGCCCAGAATCCTGCCATGCTCCAGGTCTCCCTGGATGCGACGATGCATATTGCAACGGTGAGATATGTCCTCCGGGCTGGATAGGGTACGTATACTCACAGGACCTTGCAGTTGTTTGACTTCCCTTACAAACGCTCCGCTTTGACTTTCGTTCCTCGCGAGCGCTTCTTCAAAATGGATGTCCTGTAGTGGCACGTGGCGGATGAGTCGCGAGAATCTTTGTTCCGATACGAATCTACTATCTATTGTCCATACGTGGAGGGCCTCTTTTGCAGGTTATTGTTACCTGATCTTTGTAAGGGTATTCATTGAGTGTATATGCCAGACGCGTCGTGTGCAATGGTCACGTGGGAGATAATCTCAGTCACATGACCTCCGCGCCACTCCCCTTTCTAGGCTCAAGTTGATAACCTGGACAAGAACATCGACCATCATCCGACAATGGCAAGCATC